CCCCCCCCCCTCCCCAAAATTATTTTACCTGTGTTTGCATTATGAAATGCTATTAGTTAAAGATAGACGACACACGCACACTAATGCTAGAAAAGCTACTGTAGTCGAGCATAAAAGTCGACAAAGACCTTGATAGTCCAACTTTTGGTTCAGCCAGACTAAACTGCCATTTATACACACAATCTTTCACACATTGAACCAGATAACCAAGATTTTGACAAAATAAGACGAGTGAAATCAAACAGATTAATCAGAGGTTTGAAGGTTGTAATGTCAAACTAAACAAGTACTAACAAGAGGGGGAAAAAAGGAAAAAAGAAAAAAAAAGTCAAGCAAGCTATTCAGCTTTTCAAAACCAGGGTTTTGACAAGCGAGGAACAGGCTTCAAACGAGCACCGGATTCCACATTGGTAAAACATCAGATTGAAGCCAAAAAATGTTTCACAGTGAACACGCGGATATCTTTTCCCAACTGAAAGATATCAGGCCAGCCAAAACTGAAATCCAAGGTCTCGTAGGAAATCTGGGATATAGAGCTCTAGAGACTGTGATGTAGAGGACACCGATAACAGTTGAAATAAGGATAAATTAGATTCTCAATTAGAAAAGAAGTATAACATGCCGATAAAGAGCATAAAATATATTTACTTATATATGGATCATAGCTCGGAATTGGGGAATATATGCATAAAACATTCCTTGAATAATCATACCTTGTGTCATTCCGGCTTTAATGTGGCCATGTTCATCCAAGAGCCATTTGGACCTTGTGCTAATTGATCATTGCTGAGCATTGATGCACTAGCCACAAAGCAATGATAACTTTCACGTGTAAGCTTACAACCATAAAAGGAAAAACATGTTCACTTAACTTGTAAAGTTGTACATGCATAAGTACTGGAACATCATTGTTCAAAGCAGCCATAGCAGGTACTAGATGAACTGAAAGAATAATCTAACTGATAAATAAATATCAAATTGCAAACTAGCATGAAGTTTTGCTATTAGTTTGGATTTAAGCGAAAACTTTCCATAGGTAGGTAATCCACATCAGAAATTAAAGCCTTTTCTGGCTGCAATGTCTACTGCGGTTGTGCTGATTGGTCCTGGGGTTTTCTGTTAAAATTTTATGTCTGAGAAACTGATGCTTCTTTAAACATTGTAACAGCTTAATTATGTTACTATTAGTTAATATGTGTGATCATCAACTGTTCTACCCTCTAGTTATAATTACATTAACATCCAAAGTTGTACAGTCAACATTTTAACCATTATCTGGGCTTTGACATGTAAACATCCTCTGTATTTGTGCATGCACATGAAGAAAATAGCAGTGATCATTTCATTTATAACAAATTGATAGTGATCCATGCATCAGCATGCAAAAGATATCACAATTGAATAAGCTAAGGTGAAAGTTATCCATTACACATTCACATATCAGGTCACCCCATGGTAGCCACAAGACTCTTAGCAGGAATCCCTCCGTAAAACAGATATCTGAGGCTCAAAGGTGGCCTGAAATGGAAGAATGCGAGAACTCCACAAGCCTACGGAAGTGTTGGCTTATCAAGAGCCACACTAGAAAAGCCATCCCTTGTCTAGAGCAAGAGAAAATCTGTAGACATCTGGAAGCAACACCCTATGTGCCTCCTTCTCAGCCCTGGAAAATGCAGGGGAAGCATTACTAGTATCTGCAAATGACTTTGTTTATACTTCCAAATTATGGACAACAGAGACAAGTATTACAAAAGGTATGTCTCCTATATGACATTGGTTGTATGGTTATATGTACCAAATTTAGAAAGCAAACAAAAGCTTCTTTGTTGGTTCTAATTAAAGAGCTGTTGTTGAATGAATGCAAAACAATCTTTTAAACTCAGCACAAAATATCAAGAAATTATGCAAACATAAGTCCCATAAAGCATGTTAGTCATTGAGCCTTGATATAAACCAGCATTTTAGTATGCCACTTAATTTCAAATCTCAGAAGTCAGATCATGTCTTCCAAGTGTCTTCAAAAATCTAGAATGTAACTAAAGTTCCAGAAAGATCCTAGTGTATTATATCTACCAGAACAAGTCCAACGGGAATTAAGAGGATATATCATAGATGAACAGATTAACAATAGATCAGAAATGATCACTTATTCATGAAGTTTTAGCATATACATTCACATCAAACTATATCACTAAGTCATAAAACATAAATGAAGGACTGAAACATTTCATCTTTCTTCTTACAGTTGAATGAGCCTGAGATCAAACTTGCTATGAAACTATCCTAGGGAAAAAGTATTAAATTGAAGAGAGAAAAAATTCCTGTCATCTGAAAGGAATGCTGTTTTCAGAAGAAATCAAGTTTCTTAACTCCATTAAGTGTTCGTCGTTTGATATGTGGAGTGAAAGACGGAGGTTTGTCATTAATGCTTCCTGTTCCCAACTTAAGGGTCCTGATGCATGCAATGCCTCAATTGTACTACGATAGGCATGCAACTCTAACCTATGAATCTCTGCTGCCAATTCCTCTTGTGTAGGAGGGGAACAATTCCCTTCCTCGCAACCCCTTTGGCAGACAGACTCGGCATCACTAAATGAACTGTCTACATCTTCAAAAGGACCTGCAGATACAGGAAATTGCAATTTATAGGAATTCCTGCTAGTGATACTACAACTACCAACAGAGCATGTAATACTATCAGCATGATTTGATTCTAAGTTTTCTCCAAATGGACAACCCACAGTGCCAGTTTGTTTCCTCCTCTCTATGTCCATCATATTAGAAATCCCAGTTTTTCTGTTGCTTACAGAACCAGGTACACATTCTTCAGCGAGCACATCTCTTGGAAAACCGACACCCTGTACCTGTTTGAGTGGTGTGAGAGTATTTCTAACTCTTGCTCTGTGACATCTGCCATCATTCTCAAGTGCTCTAAACTTTGGGGGAGGTTCAGCATATGCTTCAACTTGAGAATAGGTTCCACGTTTCATTGTTTTAAAAGAAACAATTTGGGATTCCAGAATGCTCGGATTTTTCTTTTCAGGATGATAGTAAGTGGAACCTGACAGTTTGGCCTTTGTAGCTGTCTTCTGAAGTTGGGCACTAGAACGTTTTCTATTCTCACAGCTGGCAGAACCCTGGAGATGGAGAAGAATAAATAACTATTCAACCATAAAACAGCATAGGATCCGGAAGAAAAAAAATAGTACAAAGAAAAACTCATGGAAGCTAATTAATAAAAAATATAAAAGAAGGAAAATTGAACAAAATATGAGAGTAAGAAAATGGCAATATTGAAAGTAAGAAAAACAACCTAAGCAGACCCCCAATTTTTTTAATTTTGATTAGTTAGTTTTAGCAAACAGGATATGCTGCATAAATGGTATTTCAAAAGCTCAATCAAAAGTTAAAACCAACTCAACAGATGATGTGTAACAATATTGACATCAGTACAGCCAATGGCACTTGGCAATTGCTAAGGAAGATGAAGAAGAAAAGATTCAAAGGCAAAATAAAGTTACCTTTCCAACTATAATCCACTTGTCATCTTGCCAAGACTGTCTCACCCGAACGTCAAATTTGCTCACTTGAAATTCCAAAGAAGATCCAAGCAGCCTGACCAAAATGTAGTTTTTCCCCAAAACCTTCAAAATGGTAGCCATCTTCCATGAGAAGTTCTGGAAGACCTCTAAAACATCACCTGGGCTCCAATTCTCTGTGAGCTCAAGTGCAGGCGGACATGGCCTTATGTCTTTCCTGGACACCCGCTCCACAATTGCCTCACCAGCATCAGCTTCATATCCATCATATTTCACAGTATAGTGGTGGCCATTACCACAAATGATCTCTGCACATAGCCATGAGCCACAAGGCACCTCAACTTTGCTCAACACTTCCACCTTATTCCCTTTCTTAAACCTCATAATTGCTCTAAAATTTCAACCCCGAACACCTGTTCAATAACAAAAATCAAAATAAGAAACAGGACAAAAATCAAAATAACATAGCTGTCAGCTGCTCAGAATCGGAAAATAATAGGAAAAAGATTGAACGCAACCCATTATCAACATGTAGAAGCCACGGAATGGATGGTGATAGCAATCAATAAACAGACATATAGCATATAAACAAAAGAGAAGCCGGATAACAGGTTATAGAAATAACAAAAAAATAATTATTCCGAAACTCTTGCATTGAATTAATTTAGATCTTGACTTTAAAACCCAGAAAAACGACTAGTTTTGAGGCAATCATAAAGTGGAAAATTTTGATAAGACAAAAAAAAAAAAAGCAGAGGCCAAACAAAACTAAACACAGAGCTCGTTGCAAGTTTATGTTCAAATAGACAACGATACATAACAGTAAAATTTAAAACAAAAACGCAACGACACACACGCGGAGAGAGAAACAGAGCAATCAGTCATGAGAAAGTCCAATGATCAGAAGTAGAACAAATGCCGTTACACCGATTTGAATGCTAAAGCCGATCGAGTGTGCTTTACGCCAGTGATTTGCTGAGTTTCAAGGTTCTTTCTTTTTGTTATTCTGGTTCCTCTTTTTTCCGCTAATTTTTATTTATTTTGGTGAAGAAAATTATAAGAAAAATAAAAAAATAAAAACCTCATTAATACTAAATCAGGTAATAGCAGAAGCGGAGAGGAGAATTCTGATTCTGTTTCCTTTCCTCCTGCGTTTCCTCAGCAACAAAAACAAGAGCAAAAGAAACAACAACAACAACAAATCGTACAGAAATTGGAAATTGAAAGCTCATTGAGAAAATTAAAAAAAAAATCCATTAATGATGAATGATGAAGAGAGAAAGTGAATTAGTAGATGAAACGGGAGGAGGAAATTGTGAAAAGGGAAGAGAAGAAAATTCACTGACCTTGTTCCGATTCAGAAGACGATCTTTTCGTCTCTGTGATTTTCACTCTCTCCTTGTTATTGTGATTGCGGTTGTTGTAGAATTTTTCCCTTTTGTTTTTATTTGTAAAATTATCATATTCATTGTGTGTTGCCTATAAATTAAATGGATTTAATTTAATTTATTTTTAAATAAGGAAGCTTAATGTACGAAGCTCAATTTTCATTGCCAAGCTGCCAAACTGCCCAAGAATAGCTTGTTGGGTTGGGAATTAACTGTTACATCTTATTCTAACACATTCCTTCTCTCATGCCTCATACCTCATACCTCATACCTCATGCATCCTTTCTCTCTTCCTCAATTTCTTTTTTTATTTCCATCAATTTTTATCCCCTTTTTCAATTTTCAATTTATCAATGCACATTTTTCAGCCATAAAACACTATATACACTTCACCATACCCATCTTATTTCACTCTTACTTCTCTATCTTTTTTATCTTCCAAATAATTATCTTTAACTATATTTCTTAAAGATAATTTTTCTATACTCTTTTACTTTTATTTTTTAAACCATTTTTTTATCTCTTTCAATAAATTATTTTATTTTTAAATTACAATGTAATTAATATATTTAAAATACTTATTTGTTATAAATTATAGTTATATAAAATAAAATAAAAATATCCTATGTGTTATATAGACAGAAATACTAACTATAGTTTGATCAAAGTGTAAACAGATTATAATCATTGTTATTTTTTCCATTTGGAAAAGAATTCAACATTTGTCGTAAAAGAAATGCTTAGACGAGAAATTAGACGGCACTAACTTCTATGCCAAAATCTTCATTCACGTTTAATAAAAATAAATATAACATTTTTTGTTAGCCAGAAAAAAAAAAAAAAAATCCTATCATGAAAGTTTCACTCCTTCAAGACAAATTTATTGTTCACGCATAATCCTTTGTTTATAATTTTACTATTATGGGAACCGTGCTTTTGCACGGGTTATCACTTTTTTAATAGTATTAATCATAATTTTGTAGAGATATTACTTTTTTTTTATAATGACTGATAAGTTTTTTTTTAATCGAGTGGAACTAGTTAGTATGTGAAGAAATTGTGTTATCTTTTTATTAACTCAAAAAGTAAAAATAAAATGTAAAAACATATGCAATAAATCGAAGTTTGTATAAGTACTAAAATATAAATATTTAATATATTTTTTCTCAAAATAAATCAAATGGACTAATGAATAAATCATAAAAAAAATTATGTTAACAATGTAACAGTTGAATTAGTTTCTACTTAAATAAAAAAAAAAAGTTAGAAAAACTATGACTCGTCTTTATTATAAGTTATGAAAAATGACTCCGTGAAGGCCACATTTAAATTTTTTTCCTTTTTTATTGTGTATCAAGATTTTTTACCTTTGTTTGCTTTGACCAAACAGTTTTGAGAATATATAATGCAACACCGAATAGTAATTGACTTTGAGAATTATTAATAGTCGTAATACATGATATAATTTTAGGAAATAACATTCTTATAGGTTTTAAAGGTACATGATCAAGATGAAGACATAAACAATAAAAAAATATAAGTCGATTTTTCCATTTTTTTCAGAGAAATATTTATTTTATGGTGTGTTTGGATGAAGAATTTTACAAATTCAAGAAATTTTAAATTCTTAGTATTTAAATTACTTTGATTTCAATTTGTATCATTCTTAAAATATTTTGTTTGGATAAGTCAATTCAAATTTCTCAAATTTTAAATTGTTGAATTGGATATGATAATTTGATTCTACATGGTAAAATTGATTTTAAAAATATTTATATGTTGAGATTTTTAAATTAAATTTTATAAAAATGAATATTAGCTAATTTTTAAATATTTAATAATTTTAAAAATTAATATTAGATAATATTTAATAATTTTAAAATTTTTTGAATATTCAATAATTAAAAACATGAAGAGATAAGAGATAAGATAAAATATATAAGTGAAATAAGAAGAAAAAAAAATATGAGAAATTTCAAATTCTTACTTTTTTTAGGAGAATTTGAAATTCTACTATTTCAAGGAATTTCACAAATGCTTGAATTTCAATTTCCTTATAAATTTTTCATCCAAACAAGATATTTCACTTCAAAGAATTTAAAATTTTTTAAATAAATGAATTACTCCATTTAAATTCTCCATCCAAACACACTTTTAAGAAAAATGCTTAATCCTTTGAAAGAAGGATTTGACTCTTTCGAAGTGAAGGATACATTTTCAAAAATGAAGTACAATAATAATTGTTAATTAAAAATAAATCTTTATTCAATATTATTTTAGTTAATTATTATTAAATTTTTATCCAAATTCTTTTAATTGTTTTTCTTGGCAATCATTCAAATTTAGTGAGTTGTATATTTGCATACTTAAGTAGATTGTGACAATTTATTAGGAGCAATATGTTGTGCGTTGGATATTGGAATTGAAAATAATAAGTATTACGCTATTGGAGTAGGTGGGGTTAAGATTGGTGAGAATTTTACTATAAAAAAATTATATATAATATATATATATATATATATATGAAATAAAGATATTCTAAAACTAACCATTTAATAGTTATTTCACTTATAACTTATCATATACATTAATGTATTTAATAAGATTTTAATTAAATGGTTAGATTATTAAAATTTAATGTATATAATAAGTTATTGAGAAAAATAACTATACATAAAATTATTTTTAGAATAAATTGATCATTGTCCATATATATATATAAAGAGAGATATTCACTTACTTCAATAGTAAATTTTGGTTGACTTATTATATTCAATAATTTATGTTTTACATCAAAATTTAACATTTCATCGGTTAAATTAAAAAAATAATAATGTATAGATGAAATTTATAAAAAAAATTGAAAAATTATTAGATAATTTATTTCATTAATTCAAATTTATGAATAATCATAAAAAATATTTAATATGGTGATTTGAATATATATAACGAAATATTATAATTTTCAAATTTTTTAAGAATTTGTGAGCTTAATATATACATTAAGAACTTTTAATTTAATGATTTAATTATTGAAAATAAATATAGAAATGAGTTATTGAGTAAAGTAAATTTACTAAGACTTATTTTTTATGTAAGTGAATCCCTCATCATATATATATATATATATGTGTGTGTGTTTCGAAATTATTTTACATGAAAATTTTAAGATAAATTAATAATCCTTTTATTTTTCACATTGATTGTATTCTTGTGATGACTTATCCAATTGGTATTGATTTGATTTTTTTCAACAAATTTGTATTAGGATGCCTTTATGCGTATTTTCTTATTAATAAAAATTATAATAACAATAAAATTTAAATCTAATATATATATATATATATATATATATATATATATATATATATATATATAGTTTTGTGTAAAAAAAAAACTATATATTATATATATATATAATTAGTGTTGTGCTAAAAGCACACTATAATTAACAACTAACTTTTTTTATTAAATTTGTGTTAAGATGATTTTGTGTGTCAAAGTAAATTTTTATTTCTACTAAAGAATAACAGAAAACAAATCATCTTTCTTATCAATCAATGGATATGGGTACTTATAGAAGTATTTTTTATGTTTATTTTAAAATTAATTTTGTATCATTTTATGTCAGTACATCATTTATTATGAATTACAATATTACACAACAATAATAATAATGTATAAATGTTAAAAAAATTATTACGAGTTGTTAATTCAAGTAGTTTGACATTTGTACTCTTTAATTAAGGATTAGAGTTTAATTTTTGTCTTAGACATAGAGTTACAACTTGATGTATCACTTTATTTTTATTAGGAAAGACCTAATGTGAAGAAATTATACCTCCTTATCAAACAAAAATAAAATACAAAAATTTAATGTGATAATTATAAAATGCCCAAAACTAAGATAGTAAAAAATTAAAATTATTGCTTTGTCAAAAAAAAATTGTAATTATATCGGTAGATTTATATCGAATCAAAAGTAAAAAATTTAAAGTTATTCTAATTATATTGATTGATTTCTATTTAATTAAAATTAATAAATATTTATTTATAAACATTCGACACAAACGATTATTTTACATAAAAATATTTTAAAGAATTTTTCTTTAAAGGTAGTCATTTTAGACATTTTTCTTCGATGAGAGGATTTTATTTTTTAGGGTTTTTTATTTCTTATCTAATTTAACTATTATTTATGTATATTTATTTATAAATTAAAATTTAATAATTTTAGTATAAATTATCAATCGTTAAAAATAATTTTGTGTTATAATAAAAATTTATTTATCATAATTTTAAAGTATAGTTTATATATTTAAAAATATAAATATTTACAAATTTAAAATTAAATTTATATATAATATTTATTAGTTGGCACAAGTGTCAACAGCTTGTGAGTTGTGTCCCTTAACTAAAGTGTCCCAAAATCAAATCTTGACCTTAAAGAATATTTATCTTGTATGTACTCACAATCTCCGGTAAAAATTAGTCACTATTTTTTATGATGAATACTTTGTACCAATACCATAGTTACTGAAAAAGAATATAATATTTATTTATATATATTATTATAAATTTTAGTTGTATATAATAAATAGGATAAATTATACTTTTGATTTTTTATCTTACTTTATAGATTTAGTTGGGTCATTTATCTACTAAGATGTTTATTTTGATCATTTATCTTTTATATATTTGGATCGATTTAATATTTTTAATACAATAATTATTTTTTATTTTTCGTCATGATTTTGAATCAATTTTTGAATGATTCAAGAAGTGAAACTTGTAATATTATATTCACATATATAAAAATTATGCAATTTAATTGACATTTGATTTCAAAATAGTTTATAAATATAGTAAAAATCGTGTAAAAATTATATCTTATGAGAATCTAGAAATTAATATGATTTTTTAAAAAAATTGGTTACTTTTTTTTTTTTACTTAATTTTATGCAATTTTTGTTATATTTGCCACATTTTCTAGTTTGAGTTTTAGTTGCATTTAACACTTTTCAAATAAATGAATCAAATGAAACACATTTTAAATCTTAAATCAATCAAAAAATTATTCAAAATTATTTCTCAAAGTTGAAAATAATTAATGTTTCAAAAGGACCAAATCAATCCAAATTTAAGAGATAAAAAATAAAAAATAAATCTAAAAAAATCAAAGATCAAAAGTATAATTTAACCTAATAAATATTTAATATGTGTATTGCACAAGTTAAAATACTAATTTATTATAAAATGTAG